TTAAAAGCTGAGATGGTATCTGCAGTTATTTTTTGAATTTACCGATATTTTTTATTTTTCATTGAATCTTTTAATAATGGCAAAGTTACTTGAGCGATCTCTATGAATATTCAATTGATGGTTTCAAAGTCAGGTATAAAAAAAAGATGCTTTTTTGTAAAAAGTTGGCAAATTAAAATGATTATCTCTTAATATTTTTTACTAATACAAATATTTCAATTACGTAATAAACTTTAATAAACTACACTATTTAAGTATTTATTATAATGATAAACGCAATTGACCCGCTGAAAAGATTTTCCGCTAAGTAAAATTTATTTCCCGACGCTTTTTGACACATTGATTAAGGCGCCCTATATCCTCAAGTAATTAGTTATTTATACGGGTCATCCGAATTCGGGTATCCGGATTACCTGATTATATTCGGGTGACTGTTTTAATTTCGGGTACCCGGTTTGGTAAAGACGGTTGACCCGACGGGTCACGGGTAGAGATTTTCCAACCGGTTTGGAACCCTATTGGAGATTCCTTCACAATAGTTTCATCTTTCAACAAATCTTCTAATTCTTTTTCCAATTCATCATCTTGAATAAGTGAAGCATCAAGTGTAGAGTCACTTCCTAGTTTCATTGCTTCATCGATTTCTTGCTGATCGGCCAAAACATCTTGTAATTTATCTATGGTAGCGTCTACAGAATCGATGGTGAGTCCAGTTGAAGCCATAACATCATGTAGAGTATTTGCACCAACGTTATATATATCAATTATCTATTTGTGATAAAATGCAATAATAATATATTAAGATAAAATTCATGAAATTAAATAAAAATAGAAGTGAAATATCATTACTTCAGCATCGGTTGCAGCCCCTTGAATTTTTAAAAGAATTTCTTCAACAGTTACTAAAGAACCAGCCCTTTTTGATAAAACTTTCTCCAGGTGCATTTTTTGTCGTAAATGATGTTTGGCGATAACTTTTTGTTTTTGAAGTATGTGTTTATAAATTTTGGAAGATACTCTAAGACAAAAATTTACATAATTATTGTGGGGGATGATCGTGCAATCGGATGATGCTGAAATTTTTATTTATTTTATTATGAAAATTTAAAAATTTTTAGGCCTTTTTTGTTAGCTTTTTTTTTAGGTTAGGGTTAGGGTTTAGGGTAGAGTTGTTAATAAAAGAGTATATGTGGGTATTATAGATTTAAATCGAAACCCTAAATTTCAGCTTCATCCGATTTCACGATCATCCCCCACAATTATTAAATCAAGTCTTCATAAGTACTAAGGTATAGATAGGTATAAGGATTAAATATATAAATATACATACTCTTTTATACGTTCTTCTATGTCATGAATTTGCTGATGCAATTTATTACAAGTTTCCTTTATATGTATGATTCCACGATCAATTGAAGCAATTTCAAATTTTGTATTTGTATTGATATTTCTAGGTTTAAATTTGATAATCTAATAATAGAGGAATCAAATTATATATATATATAAATCAAAAAATAAGAATTTATAAATACCAAGATATTTTCTTTATCCTCATGCCAAGAACCGGTTAACAAGATTTTTTTTTCAGATACCAAATAAGTTATTAAAACTTTTAAATCAGTATCAGATAAAGTAACATTTGGAATTGATTTTGTTGCAAATTCAGTTTTAAAAGTTGATAAAGTAAAAAGATTATCGGTGATCCCATTAATACCATGTTTTTCTTGATGTTGAAGGACTCGATTAGCAGCTTCTTTCAATGTATCCATTTTAATCCATTTTTCATAAGAATAGTTTCCTGAACTAATAAACTTTTGTATCCCCCAATAAATCGGATTTATTATAAATCTTGAAACTAACCAACTTGACCAGAATTTAGTTAAATTAGAAATAAACTCATCAACAGGTATTAATTCGTTGGTCATATACATTTCTTGCTAATAAAGTTCAAATACATATTTGAATAAACTTCAGAAAACACGAATTCCTTTGTTAATAAAAAATAAAAACTTACAATTACACAAGGTAAGCTTAATGGGCTATAACCTTTGTTTTGAAAATTATTCTCTAAACATTCATTGGTCTCTAAACATATTATATCTTCACCTAATAAACCGCGACTACTTGTTTCAAATAAAACTTTTTTCCAAAACCTGATACAGTCATTATATGTTGACTGGTCAGTACTTTTTAGAATTGTAAAGTCAGACCAATACCAATCAATTCTATTTTGAGTTTCTAGTTCTTGTAAAGACCTTAAATAAACACGAAGTTCAGGCTGGAACTTTGGCTGCATTTTTTTTAAAAGAGAAAACTATAATATTCTATATACTGAATTTTTTTGGCGTAGTATGTAGCGGTAGTAGTTTGTTTAATTGGTTAAATTTTTGCAGATTAGCACGTGAATTTAAAACTAATCTAAAATCGATCGTTTAACGTTGTAAAGGGCTAATTTGACCCTCCGGATGTATGATTATTTCAATAAGTTTTTATAGTAATAAAAGATTCTTGATTCAAAATTCCACACAATCAGCACCAAATGTTACTATTGTTTTGAAAAAGCATTAGATAATTGTACTGAGTTTAACTCTAATAATTAACTTAAATATATTTTATGTATCAAATGTTTGAAAATAAAGTCTTTAAATAACATGATCACTTATATAAATATCGGGTTAGTGGCTTGCTCATGTGTTATGACAGACTTTATATTGAATCGGGAGTACTTAAATGTATCGATCACACTTAAGTAATTATGACAAAGGTAATAAGTGTAATAAATGCGTCACTGATCTATTCAA